ATGATGGCTTTTGTATTACTTTTGTAGACCTAAATCCCTTGTTTACAGTTCAAGAGAGGTTTCTCCTTTAATGGATCATTGTGTTCTTTTGGAACATTTCTGATAACAAACTAAACTGTCTTTGCTACCTCTGGTGTGCGACTGGTGGCCGGTTGTGGAGTACACTTTGTGTTTTTTCTGCTGAAATCACGATCTTTTTACTTTACAGATATGGTTTAAATTCCACTGAATGAACATTACCTGACCTTGACAGAATCGAGGGTGGTGTTCTGGAGTGTGTGGGGAAACATCTGTTCCAATTTATGTTCTTATCTGTACCTTATTAATATTGGTGTTTTTATCGTACGAATGAAATGGTGGCAAAAATTATAAGGTTTACTTTATTTTACGGACAACAATTATTATCCTCAAGATAAAAGTATTTTTTTATGTCCTCCCAACCCACGGCTGGTATGGATCGGTTATTAAACGCCCTGGTGAGGGAATATAGAAACATCTGTAAAATATCCATCAACAGACCCATAGAGGGTACATTTTACACTGTGTTGACCACTTCAAGTGGACATACTCATTAATAAGGTGGAGTTAAATATCCTGAGAATCCTACTTCGGAAGTCTCTGACCACGTATGTAGTCTATAACAAATAGTTTCATATTGAAGTTACTTACTGATAAAGTATATTTTATTACAATATACAGCTGTTAAAGTAAGTAAGATTAGTTTTTGGACCAGGTACGACGTTTCGATCATTATTTCGATTATTATAAAGTCTATAACATAGTTTGTGATTTTACAAACTGTATATAAGGTTTTGTTAAGTAAGAGATGTTTCTCAAAACATCAAGTTAAATTGTTATATACAGCCAGTTATATGGTTACTTAACACCACTCTATACTGTTACGTCGTGCTAAGATACAAGGTTACACAAAGCAACAGTTAATTAGCACCAAGATATATATTTACTATGCGCTATGATATATATATGTATGTATGTGAGTACATATGTACGTATCTATGTGTGTACATACATATTTTGTACTAGACATAAAACAATGAAGTATTCATTCTCATTGTTTATCGGTACAAAGCTCAAAAACATGTCATTGATAACAAATATTAAAACTATTAAGTGACCCTCGTTTCTGCACATGCGCGGAAGCGGAAGGTTCTCAAAATTTGGGCGAGACAAAGTTTGGCTTCCATCAGGGCAAATCTCATCTCCACACAGTTTCTGGGCCTAGCTTCAAACGAGATGTAAGAGTAGGGATGTCGGTCTTTCTTTTTTTCTGGGAGGAATCTGTAGTTGATAACAACATTTGTGAATTTATTTTACAAACTTTTAGTAACATTTTTTTAAAGTAAGAAAATATATTTCTTATAACACCAAGCACAACCATACATGGCTGCTAAACATTCTGATATATGTTAACACCTCGATATACAGTTACTTATTGTTACGATATAAGGTTACATAGGACAAGGTTTAATTAATATCAAGATGCACTTTTACTAAGCATTATAATATGTGGTTACTAACCATATTTTTCCCCAGCTTTAACCAAACTTTAAAATCTGTCCAATAATTCTGAAATACATTTCTTAATGAAGGAATTAATGAACTAACCCCCCCCCCCCACCTCCAAGCAGCTCAGCGGTATGTCTGTGGACTTATAACATTAAAAACTAAAAACCTGGTTTCGACACTCATGGTGGGCACAGCACAGACATCCCATTATATATGTTTGTGATTATCTATAAACAAACAAACTACATGAAGCTTACGTTACACGTGTATTAAAATGTTTCTGGAGGGCTTATTTAAAAATAATCTAACAAAGTAAATTCTTTGTTTATTATTTAAAAGTTTAAACAGCTCTACGAATTGTAAATAGATATGCTATGCTACACGAAGAAACGTTGAACAAGAATAAATAACTTCAAATAAATAGCACCTTTATTATTAATAATGTCAAAGTCCGTGAAATTTTCAACAAACTTCCCACTCTTTGTTCATATTATTACTATTAATATTATCGTTTCACAAGCCTACAGCAAAATCGACTGGGTATTTTGCACCAAACCTACACAGATATGCTATATGAAACGCTGCGAATGTTCATGATCTTTTTAAAAGTTGATCATTTTTGCAGAGATGTTGTCTGTTGCAACTGTAAAGGTTGTGTCACAAACAACGTCTGTTAAAACTGCCCTTTAGAAATTTCTTTTTTCTTTTCTTTTTAAAGCTTGAAAAATAAAATTACTGCCAATTGGTTTATAGTGCGAAACGTTAAATACTAGTACGCGTTTAGTGTTACTTTTTTCAATACCAGGTTTATCGTAAACGACTTTCCACATACACTAAATTTTGGGCTCCCCTGGAAACTTTAAACCACATGATTAAGAAAACGACTGTCCATTCTAGCAACCACTTTTACTTTGAAGAAGAACTTTACATAGAACTCAATTTACAGCAACGTGCAGAGGTTTTTAAAGGCACAGGTGCTCATTGAACAAAAGGGTATTTTCAAACATCGTTAAGCAATACTTTTTTTTAGGTGGAGGAGGTATAGGAGACTATGGAGACTGTGGGCTATCTCTGATACACATAGAAGACTATGGAGACTGTGGGTTATCTCTGGTACACATAGGAGACTATGGAGACTGTGGGTTATCTCTGGTACACATAGAAGACTATGGAGACTGTGGGTTATCTCTGGTACACATAGAAGACTATGGAGACTGTGGGTTATCTCTGATACACATAGGGTAGAAAGCCACGAGAAGCAAATATATACTCTTTTATTCCTATTCTTATAAATGCTTTTAAAATCTGAAACTAAACAATGAATTCTTGCGTATTAACCTTTTCAGCCGTGGGGGCGTTATAAAGTGACGGTCAATCCCACTATTTGTTGGTAAAAAGAGTAGTCCAAGAGTTGGCGGTGGTTGGTGATGACTAACTGTCTTCCCTCTAGTCTTACACTGCTAAATTAGGGACGGCTAGCGCAGATAGATACATTTGAGAAAAAGGACACCTTTGAAGCATAACACAGAAAGGTAAGGACTTGAACCACCAACCGGAACGCCACTGGTACATTGTTGTATTTCACGTTTGTTAAAAAATTAGTTTAATATAGTAAGAAGGTCAGCCAGATTCAAGAGTGTGTCAGTTGTTGTATTTCACGCATTAACACTTTATGGTTGAATATTCATCTTGAAGATGTGATTTTCACCACGAGATAGTATAATATTGTTTAGAATATTGAGGACATATGTGATATATGCAACAAAAATAAGAGATTTTAAAATTTTACAACGAAATCTCAAAATTACTTTAAAAAAGAAGAATAAGAAGGGATCTGATTGAGGTGTTATGAGAACTGATAGTGTTGATGCATCATCTTTTTTCATAATTAATGATGAGAATGATAAGACTAGAGAACATAGGTATAAATTTTAGCAGAATAAGAAACATATTCAGCTAAGACAACTTTATTTTTCTAACAGAGTGGCTGGTTTTTGGAACATATTGCCTTCAAATGTGGTAGATGTAGTTGATTGAAGGGAGTCTAAAAAAAGGCTTGGTAAATATTTGAATGATAACAGCTGGCTTGAAGGTTTTATTTTTATTTTGGAGTTTGGTATAGATGGACCAATATGTCTCTCATTATCCTTAAATATTCTTAAATTATATGTGTGTTTGTATATAGGTATACAAAGAGATGGCCCGAATTATTTGATTGTTGAATCTTTGACAACATATAATATGAAGAGGTTTTATATGTCAACTGCTGCTGAGAAAGTTTGTTATGGTCAACAGAGAAGTTTGTTATGGTCAACAGTGAAGTTTGTTATGGATAATTAATTTTTTAACTGTTTCTTTGACGATCTCCATTTGGGTTGGATTGGCTTGTCAGCACGTTTTGTGTAAAACTTTTGGTCTCCAAGCTGTCTGAGTCTTTTTAAACGTATTCAACGATGCTAAAATATACATATTTTAATTTTAACTCGACTTTTTAAGTTATGGTGTGATTGCCCTAATCATTTACTGCCAAGAAAGTTCAAAATAACATAATATTGAAACAAATAATGTTTATCTTAAAACATGGTGGAGACTCCAGCTTGAGTATATGTATTGAAACACTGTGCAATTACAGATATCATCGAAAATTCCATGTTTTAGTCTCCAGAGGAACAATTTGTTTAGATTTAATGAACATTTGAATATCCAATGATACTAAGTGTTGTTCATCCCAGCAACGTCAAACCAATCGCATCAAAATTAATAAAAATGAGATTCTAAACTTGAAATAAATATTTAATGCTAGGTGTCTCTTCAGTAAGCAGTGACGTTACTAAGTGAAGTTGTGTATGAATGGTTGTTATTTGACGGTATTATCTACTTTGCTGTTAACTAAATTTCAACCTTCTCCACCATTGTACATAAAATGCAAGTTTTCCCACTATATTATTTGGATGTTCCTATTAGGGCTGCGTTTTTGTTGTTGTTGTTCTTCACCAAACTTTGACAGAAGAAGAATATTTCTAAAGTCAGAGGGAGAACAAAAACACAAGGGTGAGTTCCAAATGGCGAATAGTAGTAACTCGGCTCGACAAGACAGTGAGGACGATGAGAAAGATAATTCTTTTGTAGGTTTCAGTGGATTATTGTGTGTGTTGAATGGATGAGAAACATAGCCTGTTCTAGTATATTATTGCAGCAATCTTCAGCCCTTCCTATTTGACTGATCACATATTGAAATAAATACTATTGAATTTAATTTTTATTATTGTGTTTCTATGTGCATTACCTCTCCCACTATGGGCTCGGTCCTAGGGACTGACTTCATAACCATTTTGTGCTTGTTATAATTTTCATACTATAATATTTAATACAGTATGCGCATCTTCACGAAATTTGGCAGATTAATCTTAAACATAACAAGGCTTCTATTGTTCTAGAATGGCTATATATTGTAACAGGAAACCAAAAATGTTTATTCTAAATAGCTTAAATCTCGTAATCTTATACTTTCATATATATATATATATTTTATTGCCATGTCTGAATAAATTACAGAAGTTTCAATCACGCGGCGCACGTGCACTGATGTTATGGTATCCAATAGCTTGTTTGTAGTATAAGCACAAAAATACACAATATGCTATCTGTTCTCTACCCACCACGGGTATTTAAACTCGATTTCTAGCGTTGTAAGTCCACAGACATACTGCTGTGTCACTGGAGGGCTATTATTCGAGAGCAAATTGGGCTTTACATAGTGCAACTGTTTCAGCTGTGTTCTACTGCACCAGTATTTTGTAAAATGCAATCACATTTCCGTTATAACATATTACAGGCGTATATATATATATATTATTTCTATTTACAAATAAATCCTTAAATTTCAGTTATTTTTCTTAAAACATATAACGAAAAATATAGAAAACAATTATATCTTCTACATATGAACTTTGTACTCGCTTGCTGTAATTTGTTAAGCCTTGTCTAATTTTGCATGTGAAGGATGTAAAACAAAACAAACGGCCCTGCATGGCCAGGTGATTAGGGTGCTTGACTCGCAATCTGAGGGTCGCGGGTTCGAATCCCCGTCCCACCAAACATGCTCGCTCTTACAGCCATGGGGGTATTAGAATGTGACAGTCAATCCCACTATTCGTTGGTAGAAGAGTAGCCCGAGAGCTGGTGATGGGTGGTGATGACTAGTTGCCTTTACTCTATTCTTTTATGCTAAATTACGAAATGCTAGCGCAGATAGCCCTCGTGTCGTTTTGCGCGAAATGCAAACCAAACAAAAAAAATTTTAGGTTATATTTTCAAATAACAAGAAATATTAATTAGTATATCAATACCACAAAATCCCACTGTGATTTAACAGGCCTGCTAACTAAGTTATATTTGAGTCTAAAAATATATACTTTTTCGATCACCTCTTCTCTTCGAGTCTTCAATGAAAAAACGGTTATTTCGTTCTAAGCACTTTGCAAAGGCTAAGAAAATCATTTGGGTGAAATTCTGAGATTTTCTTTGGTTATAAATAAGTCATAGTGCGAAGTAGGTGTACGTAAACAAGTATTTCCAAAAATGGAACAGGTGGGCGGGGCCACCTTGTTTGATTCACTAAATATAATAATATCTCAGAAAATAGAAAACATAGGAGGTTCATATTATATTCTAGCTTGTCAGTATCAGTAATTTGAGTTTCTAATTCCTAGGTAAGTATTTGCACATCACAAACATCTAATTTGAACCAAAGCTGCATCCAACATACAACATGAAACACAAAAATCGTTATTCAGGAATTTTGTTTTAATATTTACTTTTACATTAAGATATTAACTAATGTATAAAACTAAAATTTGAATTATGATCTACAATTTGATACCAAATACTAGTTCAATAAAATTTTGAATGTAAGTCTACAAACGTGATAACATGCCTCCTGACCCCTGTGACCATAACGAGAGGGTTACTTCATTGTTTTTAATAATCAAAAGATTCTTCCTCTACATTTATTACATTGATACACAGCACGTCATCATGTTTTGTTGTTTTTTTAAGTCTGGGCAAAAGAAACAGAAAAGTATTCTGATTAAAAACGCAGAACACATCTGCTGCAAGAGTTAGAGACAAAAAAATTAGTTAGATATGTTAGAGAGTTAGAGAGGTATTGTTTCATGAGAGACATGCAATTTCAGGGCCATTTCACAAGTGTGTTGCCTTAGGTTACACTCAACAAGCGTTTTCAGAGCATCAATATCAGTTCCAACATGTCGGCCGCTGCCATCACAGTTTTTAAGGCTAAAGTCACCTGAACGAAATTTGCTGAACCATCGTTGATACTTACGAATGTTCAAAAGATTTCCATAAACTTCTTTGATATTCTTTGTGGTTATAGAGGCATTGTTTCCCTTCTTGTATTCAAACAGCATTACATGCCGAATGTGTGTCTCTTGTG